AACTTTGGGAATATTGTCCCATCTTTCAAATTTCAAACGAAATAATACGGACAATTAGAACCCTCAGAACCTTCGTTTTTCGCAGATCATGACCAAAAGAAAAAGAATTAAAGATACTAGAACGTACTAATCTCAACATGTTAATATTTAAGCAAACAAAAGGAACAAAAACAAACAAAGTTTCAAGTACCGCCATAGCGAGGAAGTGATGGCCCGGGCCGAACCTAACCTTAGTTTAATTTTAAATTTGAACTTGTAGGTGAAAAATATGGGATATATTTTTGTTTTATTATCATCATCATCCTCATCGTTATCGGGTAAGATGGGTCCTAATTATATACAAATACGTGACAATTTTTTTTAAACAGCCGAAAAAGTAAATTGATTAATTATATATATATATATATAAATGTTTTAATTTCCTATCGATAAAGAAATTCCTTTCCAAGTTGGACTCGGAATTTTATAGGAAGCAGAGTTAGGGCAGAAGTCGGAAATAGTCCTATATTTAAGTGCTTACTGCTCATCACATGCGATCACAAAAATAAATGATATAGCTTACTGAAAGATCAAGATAAGAAAAAAGAAATAGAGGAAGAAGAAGAAGAAGAAGAAGAAGAAGAAGAAGAAGAAGAAGAAGAGGAAGAGATACAAGTTTTCTACGCAATTCATGGATCAAGGTACGAAATATTTAACATATTCATGATTTACATGACCTTTTAGTAAACTTGGTGCTCAAAATTATTGTCGTTGTTTAACATGTTCATTGTTTAATTTGGGAAGATAAATAACCCTTTAATCTATGCATGGAACTATTCGATAAATCACTAAACAGGGATTCTTTATAGCATTAAATTAGTATGTAAATCGCTTTTTTATAAAAGTTTATGGTTATTCCTTTTCTTTTTCTTTGTCATATATTCATGATTTACTGAGGAGTTTTTTTTTTTCTTTTTTTTTTTCTTTTTTTAGATTGGGCAAGCCTTCCAAAACATCTTTTAGACTTAACTTTGGGGAAGTTGGGGTCATTTACAGACTATATACAATTTGGAGCGGTTTGTGTTCCTTGGCATTCCATTCTGAAAGATAATCCAAATAAACAAAACGAATTAATGCGGCACCATCAAGTTCCAGTGCTTTTATTTCCTGGAAAAGAAGAAGATACATGGAGCATCTACAACATCACAAACAACAAATTCTTAGAGTTGAAGTTATCTTTATCATATAAGAGACGTTTCAGTGGCTCTTCAGAAGGATGGTTAGTAATTGGAAATAAGGATCATACTGTGACGCTTCACAAACCTGATTTTATAGATTATAAAGTAGAAAATAGTCAATTAGCAAATTATGAAAGTATCGACCTCCCATGTTTATTTGATCCCCCGGACGAAGAAGACGATTTGGATCCAGAAATTCTTGAATATTTTGGTGAAGAAGCTTATGATTATCGCATTGCCAAGGCTTTAATTACAGCCGATCCGCTAATAAATCCTGACAACTGCACCATTTTTATGATATTCGGCGGATATAATGAAATAGCATTTCGTAGATATAAGAAAGATACCGAATGGGTTAGAATTGCAGATAGGCACTACGATGACATTATCCATTACAAGAACAACTTTTATGCTGTGGACTATTCTGGTAGGCTTGTGTCTTTCAATATTGATGACCCTTCCACTATAAAGTTGGTTACACCCAAAATTTTGAATCTAACATCGGTTGCACATGTTAAGAGATATCTTGTTGAATCATGTACTGGAGAGCTCTTGCAAGTTGAAAGATTTGTTAGAATGGACGAGGATTTAAAACGTTGGACAACAATATTCAAAGTTTACGGATTAAATATGGATTTTGATCATGAAGGAATTAGGTGGATTGAGACAAAAAGCCTAGGTGGTGCCGCTTTGTTCGTAGGGGACAATTCTAGTATATCTGTGTTAGCTTCTGGTGGGTTTCAATGGAATTGTCAACCAAATTGCATCTATTTCACGCATGATGATGTTAGTATTAATGCTAGTAAGGGTTCTGATATGGGCATTTACAACGTGGAGACTGGAAGTTTCGAGTTACACTTTGCTATGGACCCAACTACTTTTTCTAGGATATTTGATCGACCTCCAATTTGGGTTGTTCCCATACCCAACAAATATTAGTTTTTTGTTTTTGTATTTTTTTTTTCTCTTTCAACATTATTTTTTACGTTTTCATTATTATGTTCTGCAATGAAAGGCTTCAAATTTATATATTCAACTTTTTTTCATACATGTTTTTTTTTTTTATTTTTTTTTTATTTTTGGAAGTGCAATTACCATTATTAATTGGCGTTAGACAAGACAGTAATAAACTTCGCGAAAAGATCTGAGATCTCGTGATCCTTGCCAACATGATCATAATCCAATAGATGCTGACAAACATTGTACACACCAGAATTACAACATCCATCAATTCTTCGTAAATATTTTTCCATTGAAATATGAATAGAAAAGAGTTACATAACATTTTTTTTTGAAAATATTTATAGTAGATAACATATTTTAAAATATTTATGATATATAATATATTTACCTCGAATGATTAATTTACGAAGCATATTTATAAAAATTTAACTTTATAAAAAGTTAATAGCTCTAAATGTCTCTGAACTTTTAAATTTGTGACATTTGGTTGCTAAATAAATTTTTTAAGAGATAAAATCTTCATGAACTAAGTTTTAAAGAGCAACAATTGTCCTAGCCATTAAATCTTTGACAATGTCATGTGATACGTTCATGGCTTTTTAAATGAAATTATAAAAATAACCTCACAATATATAAAAGAAGAAACAAATATAAAACTTCAGTAGGTTAGCAAAAAAATAAATAAATAAATTATGTACAATCCTAACCACTTATCTTATTTCAAAAATAACCTTACAATATTTAAAAGATTTAACTGTAAGACTGCTTTTGCTCTTTAAAACTGAATTCAGGGAGATTTTTACCCTTGAAATTAGTTTAGGCACCAAATCATCATAAACTTTAAAGTTCAAGGACCTACTGTAAATATGTATAAATGTTTTAAAATATGATCTTTATTTATTATTATGGAATTTCTCTGTGCGCCTTAATTTTTTGAACTACCGATTTTTACGTCTCTATGCGCCTTGATTTTCTGAACTACCGATAGTTCATGTAAAAATAGAGATTTGACTCCACTTTCAGTGGCTGGTATATCATAGAATCTTGCACGCACCGCATTATAGAAAAATTTCAGTATCATACATCTCAAATGTCTCTGCAACTTTTCGGTTTTGTTTATTCTAATTCCATGTTATTATCTTTTAACCCCTCTTTATTTTGCATTTTTTCGTTATCCCTAAGTTGTCACCATTAACAAACAAGCAGCCTATTTTGATTGTGACTGAGGCTTTAGTATTATGATGTCTGATAATAAGAAATATATTACACTTTTTTTTTTTCTGAATATTTCAGTTTGGGTTAATATTTGGGTATAACATAATTTCCAATGTCTCATAAAGTATGTCACATATACCCACTTATTCACTTCTTTAGAGCTCATTTGGAGCTTTTGCTCTGACTCCAATCTACCTTGCGAGCTTTTTGACACAAGAACTGTACTAGATCAATCTTTATATATGTGATCTTTCATGAATTTTGATCCACCTTGGTGTGTTTCCACCATGAATCTCTTTCTGAGTCCGTTATTGATAAAATACAAAAAAAAAAAAAAAAAAAAAAAAAAAAAAAAAAAAAACATTCTTAGAAAATTGGAGTCGATTTTCACTGTAGTGAGTGATACAATTTTTTTTCCCTTGCTTATTTTTTAAAATATACAACTTTTAACAATGATTAGCGTGTCGTTTTAATAATAATGTTGATCATTGCTGAAAATAACTAAATTTATAGATTTAAAAACTATGTATGGTCGTCACTAAAAGTTTACTCGGCAATATAAGGGCGTCAAAATCCATCAGCTCCAGGATTTCTACATTTTTAACGATCGCATGAAAAAAGTTTTTCTTTAACAAAAGCATTTGGGTTGACGCTTGTACTATGTTCTGTTTTTAATCAAGTTTCAACGACTTACTTTGAGTTTGTCATTGAATGTAACTTCCCCTGAGGATTAAAAGAGTTGATGTTGATACACTTTTTCTTTCTTCTTCTTTTTTTTCTTTTTTTTTATTTTTTTATTTTTTTAAGTAGGAGTTGAAGGGCATAAACACAGAGCGATGTTGAAGATTGAAAATATTAATGGCTATATGATGAATTTAGCAGCGGCTGATTACTTCATGCTTTATTGTATCGTGTTTTTAGTTCGAGTTTTGAGTATGGATATATAACTTTATCGTCTTTTTATGTTTTTTGAAGCTTGTGTTTGTTTATATACTAGTTTGACGACACCAACCTCAACGAACTGGATACGAGTACCTTATAAACGACACCAACCTCAACGAACGGCATGGACAGACAAAAGGACAATAAACTGGAGATGCAAAAACCGGTGTAAAACGACATTGACTTACAAGGACAAAACAAAGCATTAAACTAAAAAATGACTTGACCAGGAATAACTAAACTTGCGAAATTACATTAACTGGTGCAATTACTGAAACTATAGGACGATACTTCCTAGTAATCTTCAAAAATACGTCTAAAAAGTAAAAAGGATATATAAAACATATATAAACAAGCTTTAATCCACGGAAGATATAGATTGCCTTTAAATATAAATTGATTAACTATATATATATATATATATATGTGTGTGTGTTTTAATTCCCTATCGATAAAGAAATTCCTTTCCAAGTTGGACTCGGAATTTTATAGGAAGCAGAGTTAGGACAGAAGTCGGAAATAGTACTATTTAAGTGCCTACTGCTCATCACATGCGATCACAAAAATAATCACATGCGATCACAAAAATAAGTGATATAGCTAGCTGAAAGATCAAGATAAGAAAAAAGGAAGAAGAAGAAGCTCAAGTTTTCTACGCAATTCATGGAGCAAGGTATATTTAACATATTCATGATTTACATGATCTTTTAGTAAACTTGGTCCTCAAAATTATTGTCGTTGTTTAATATATTCATTGTTTAATTTGGGAAGATAAATAACCTTTAATCTATTTCGACTTCAATACATGGTAACTATTCGATAAATCACTAAACAGGGATTCTTTATAGCATTAAATTAGTACGTAAATCGCTTTTTTATAAAAGTTTATGGTTATTCCTTTTCTTTTTCTTTGTCATATATTCATGATTTACTGAGGAGTTTTTTTTTTTCTTTTTTTTCTTTTTTTAGATTGGGCAAGCCTCCCAAAACATCTTTTAGACTTAACTTTGGGGAAGTTGGGGTCATTTACAGACTATATACAATTTGGAGCAGTTTGTATTCGTTGGCATTCCATACTGATAGATAATCCAAATAAACAAAACGAATTAATGCGGCACCATCAAGTTCCAGTGCTTTTATTTCCTGGAAAAGAAGAAGATACATGGAGCATCTACAACATCACAAACAACAAATTCTTAGAGTTGAAGTTATCTTTATCATATAAGAGACGTTTCAGTGGCTCTTCAGAAGGATGGTTAGTAATTGGAAATAAGGATCATACTGTGACGCTTCACAAACCTGATTTTATAGATTATAAAGTAGAAAATAGTCAATTAGCAAATTATGAAAGTATCGACCTCCCATGTTTATTTGATCCCCCCGACGAAGAAGACGATTTGGATCCAGAAATTCTTGAATATTTTGGTGAAGAAGCTTATGATTATCGCATTGCCAAGGCTTTAATTACAGCCGATCCGCTAATAAATCCTGACAACTGCACCATTTTTATGATATTCGGCGGATATAATGAAATAGCATTTCGTAGATATAAGAAAGATACCGAATGGGTTAGAATTGCAGATAGGCACTACGATGACATTATCCATTACAAGAACAACTTTTATGCTGTGGACTATTCTGGTAGGCTTGTGTCTTTCAATATTGATGACCCTTCCACTATAAAGTTGGTTACACCCAAAATTTTGAATCTAACATCGGTTGCACATGTTAAGAGATATCTTGTTGAATCATGTACTGGAGAGCTCTTGCAAGTTGAAAGATTTGTTAGAATGGACGAGGATTTAAAACGTTGGACAACAATATTCAAAGTTTACGGATTAAATATGGATTTTGATCATGAAGGAATTAGGTGGATTGAGACAAAAAGCCTAGGTGGTGCCGCTTTGTTCGTAGGGGACAATTCTAGTATATCTGTGTTAGCTTCTGGTGGGTTTCAATGGAATTGTCAACCAAATTGCATCTATTTCACGCATGATGATGTTAGTATTAATGCTAGTAAGGGTTCTGATATGGGCATTTACAACGTGGAGACTGGAAGTTTCGAGTTACACTTTGCTATGGACCCAACTACTTTTTCTAGGATATTTGATCGACCTCCAATTTGGGTTGTTCCCATACCCAACAAATATTAGTTTTTTGTTTTTGTATTTTTTTTTTCTCTTTCAACATTATTTTTTACGTTTTCATTATTATGTTCTGCAATGAAAGGCTTCAAATTTATATATTCAACTTTTTTTCATACATGTTTTTTTTTTTTATTTTTTTTTTATTTTTGGAAGTGCAATTACCATTATTAATTGGCGTTAGACAAGACAGTAATAAACTTCGCGAAAAGATCTGAGATCTCGTGATCCTTGCCAACATGATCATAATCCAATAGATGCTGACAAACATTGTACACACCAGAATTACAACATCCATCAATTCTTCGTAAATATTTTTCCATTGAAATATGAATAGAAAAGAGTTACATAACATTTTTTTTTGAAAATATTTATAGTAGATAACATATTTTAAAATATTTATGATATATAATATATTTACCTCGAATGATTAATTTACGAAGCATATTTATAAAAATTTAACTTTATAAAAAGTTAATAGCTCTAAATGTCTCTGAACTTTTAAATTTGTGACATTTGGTTGCTAAATAAATTTTTTAAGAGATAAAATCTTCATGAACTAAGTTTTAAAGAGCAACAATTGTCCTAGCCATTAAATCTTTGACAATGTCATGTGATACGTTCATGGCTTTTTAAAAATTCTTAGAAAATTGGAGTCGATTTTCACTATAGTGAGTGATACAATTTTTTTTCTTGTTGATTCCTTGAAATACATAACTTTTAACGATGAGTAGCGTGTCGTTTTAATAATAATTTTGATTATTGCTGAAAATAACTAAATTTATAGATTTAAAAACGATGTATGGTCGTCACTAAAAGTTTAACGATCAGCTCCAGGATTTCTAAATTTTTAACGATCACATGAAAAAAGTTTTTCTTTAACAAAAAAGCCTTCAACGATTACCCAAATTGTCGCTGACGCTTGTACTATGTTCTGTTTTTAATCATGAAGTTTCAACAACTTAATTTGAGGTTGTCATTGAATGTAACTTTTCCGGAGTATTAAAAGAGTTGATATGATGGCTATAGGAGTTGAAAGGCATAAACACAGAGCGATGTTGAAGATTGAAAATATTAATGGCTATATGATGAATTTAGCAGCGGCTGATTACTTCTTGCTTTAATGTATCGTGTTTTTAGTTCGGGTTTTGAGTTTGGGTATATAACTTTATCGTCTTTTTAAGTATTTTGAAGCTTGTGTTTGTTGATGTACTAGTTTGACGCCCCCTACTTCACACATGAGAATACTGTGAGAATTTGTATGTTTGTTTTAGTTATTTTGGAGCACTAAGCTTCAATTTTGATTTTTTTCTTTTATTTTACAATAAGAAAAGTTGTGAAAATTACAATTTTGCACTTCAAATAACAGTTTTTCTTTTTTCTTTTTTTTTTCTAAGAAAGTAACAAAAACTATGTCCAACTAAACGAATGATGGTCAGACTTTTGAAACAAAACAGGAAAAAATAAATTAGATGTAAAATGATAAAACATTATATTTAAATTATTAGACCTAATTTTACGTCGGGTGTCTCGTATAGTGTTAGAACACTATCTAGAACACTGGTTGATTAATTGAGTTCTGGATTAATTATGTTCAGTTTATAGAGCAGAATAAAGTACATAGATAAAAAGAACACGCATGCATTATAGTATTACAGTTCGGTGCGCACACCTACATATGTGGGGCTACGTCCAGACAGTAAGCAGTTTACTATGTTTTAGAAATTACAGACACTGATGGACTTATTGACACATGACTCCCTCCTAGACAATGACAACATTGTGATGAATCTCCACAGTGATACTATTTAGCGTGCACCACACGTCTTTTATTCACTCGGCGAACTTCCTACCACCGACAGAGCTTTCTCCTGGAAGCAACAAGCCTCTTTCCCGAAAGGCGTAATGATTAACACTCGAAGGCTCTCAAAAGCGCACACGTCTCTCTGAATATTTCTCTATAAAAGCTCTCAAACTCACAGACTTTTTCTCTCGATATTTTCTCTATGAAATATGTACACTTCGTGAGTAGAATGAGACTTTTAAATAGAACAACTAAGGCCTCTCAAAATCTTCTCAAACTCCACGATTCTCTCTCAACAATATTCTGCACTTTTATCTCTTTGATGAAGCTGCATAATATCTTCACCTAATCTCCTTTCAAAGTAACTCCACAAGAAAATCTCTCTAGAAAATCTTCCACGATTTTCTCTCAAGATTAAATCTCCCCTATTTTCTCATTTTTATTAGTTGGCAATTTATTGGCAACTTGTTGTAAAAATTCAAAAACAGGTCTCAAGTTGAAGACTCGGAGAGGTTGATGCAGAATCAGATTGGAGCAGATTTAGAAGATCTCGATTGTGAGGGATAAGGATCAAAAAGATTGTGTGGAGATTTTGAACTAGATTTTTATTTGAAGTTGTGGCGAGATTCAATATGGACTAGGTGCAAATTTTGTGTGATATGAATCAAATTTCGTGGAGATTGTGCGCTATTGTTTATCTGGTTTTGAAAAGCTCTAATGTAGAGGATAAAGTTTCCAGAATGTGGCTGAATTCGAATTTGAATGAGAAAGATATTTTGAGTGGCGACCAAGTCAATTTGGATTTAAAATTGCAATGCATAATCCAAATATGTTTTGGAGGACAATTAAATTTCAAATTCTGTAGGTTGTAAACCGCGGAAGATCAAGTGTTTCAGATTTGGAGATTTTGCTGCATAATCCGAATTTGAATTTGAGAAGATATTTTTATGGAAGATCGGATTTGAAAATTTACTAAATCCGAATTTATCAATGAGTGGCAAATTTGAATTCGAAGATTTAAAAAGAGAATGTGCTTGTGGAGTTTGTTTGATAAAGCGCGTGGAGATTTTTTAGAGATGATTTGAAGATGTGAATTTGAATTCAAATAGGAGATTTGAATTTGGTGAATGCCAACATGAAGATAATGTGGACATGGAGATAATTTGAAATAGAATTGGATTGTGCCAATTTGAAGAAAAGGAATAAAAGTTCTATAAATAGAACTCAAGATTTTTCACTCTGTGGGTTTCCTGGGTTTCGCGCATAATGTTTTGAGAAGTTCCATTATCATTTTTCGGGAGAAGAAGTAGTAGTCTTCGGGAGAAGACATTTGCAGTGTTGAAGACAATTCAACTGTTTATCGTTGTTGGGAAGAAGAATTTGAAACTTTTGGGAGAGAGTGACCTGCCAGACAAAAGGATTTCACCGTGCAATTTTAAAGACAAGTGGTGCTCGCCGAATCATGCCATCCAGTTGATTCTACATGGCAGCGACAAATTAAAAGAGAGTCTTTATTTGTATAAGTCCGATTGGTATTTGTAATCATTGAGAATTATTGGATGATTCAATGTCTGGGCGTGGCCCTGTGGATGTTGGTGGTTGCTGAACTATTTTTCCAATTTATTTTCCTGCTCGATTAATTGAACATTGCTGAATCTAAAAATTAATTAATCACCAGCACGTGAAAATACACAAATCTAACCGAAATAAATTATATGAAGAAAATTTCCTAAATATCCCTTATATTATTTTGAAATTTCTCATCTTTCCTCGTACTATAGTTTGATAGAACTATCTCACATGTATTATAAAGTATGGATATATAAGTTCATGTCCCTTTATGAATTTTGAAGCTTGTGCTTGTTTATATATATCAGGCGACAGCGTTGAAGAAGCTTTTGAAGCGACTCAATGCCCCAAGCATTGGATGCTTGACAAACTTGGTGGTGCTTTTGTAACTTTGACGGCCGAACTTTTTGTTTGGTAAATGATCTTGTTTTTTCTCCCTGGTGTTTGATCAATAATATATATACCATAATGTGGTTTTAATAGTTACTTCAATATTTATCCATCAATAAGTATTATTGTTCTAGCCGTAAGATAATAATTTGACGTTTATAATAAATTATATGATTGACCAATAAAAATTATGACAATTAACGAGACTAAATTCTTATCACGACACGCTATCAGATTTCTACATTTAGTAGTAATCAGAGATGGAAACATAACAATTGAAAACTCGTCTATATATATCCATAATTTAACACTAATAGACTAGTAAATTGTTTATTAAAATTACTTAGTCATTCGTTAGTATTGATTAATGAGTGATGAATCATTAAGTTAATGAGTAATAAACTACAAATCAATTTATCATAGATTAACCATATTTTGAAAATGACTATTTTCCTAATTTCACAATACTTGGATCATTTGCTAAAAAAACACTAAGAAAGCTATCATTTTTGTACATATTCAGACTGATTTATTATTATTATTATTATTATTATTATTATTATTATTTAACACAGCGAGACTTTGCATTCAGGAATTGTCCATATATATGATCAGTATGGATGACGATTTTCAATTTGGTACTAAATATAATATGGTGCAAGTTCACTGTGCGTGTTCATTATCAAATGTTTAAGTTAAAAAACGATTAAGTTTGGTCTTTTTGCATTTAATAATCCTCTAAAACATACTATAGTAGACCACCTTTCGTCCAATGAAAATCCAATTTACTTTCTCATATGGGGAATACAAGTCAAAATATAGGCCTAGTAGAGGATTGCTGTCTGATTTTCACCTGCATTAATCAAGGTTCTCGTAGTTAAAATTCAAATTGATCAATCTTATGATCGGAATATGCAAGGTGTTAAGCAGAGCGTACGTTGGTTAACACAAAAGTATTACATGATATCATCTCATATAAACAAGATTTAATCCACGGAAGATATAGATTGCCTTTAAATATTGTGATGTTTAATTCCCCCACCATAAAATGCTTCCTTGAAACTACCATTCAGACAAATGTATGATTAATGTATTAAAAGTCCATTACTAGGATATATATGTGTGTGCGTCTACAGATTAGATTCTTTTACTCTTATTTAGTGGAATTGACCTTGTTTTGATCTCAAATTCATAGAAAAATTGTTACTTGCTCAAACAGCTCTTGAATAGCATCTGATGGATTGCAATATTTTTGGGTTTATTTATGTGGATGCCCCAAAACTCTCGATTTTGGCAAATCAATATCTAAATTGAAAATCTTAGCAATTGACCACTCAAATTTCAAAATCCTTTATACATCCAATAAAAATGAGGTTAAATTTTTCTTTTATGGTTTTCTTATATGTGACTATCATGTGACCTTTTATTGAGGGCAGCCTAGCTCTTTTTTGCTCGAATTGGACCCCATATATTATATGAAAAACTCGCTCCCTCTAGTGATAAATCCAGGATAACCAGCACTGCAAGCGAGCGACTTTTGTTCATATAGAATCCAACTTCAGCAAAAAAGACCTAAACCAACTTTAATTGTGGGTCACGTGGGAGTTACATGCAAGAAAAAAATTAAACTCATTCTTTATTGGATCTACCATGCAATGAAATTTGAAATTTGATACGAGTACCTTATAAACGACACCAACCTCAACGAACGACATGAACAGACAAAAGGACAATAAACTGGAGATGCAAAAACCGGTGTAAAACGGCATTGACTTACAAGGACAAAACAAAGCATTAAACTAAAAAATGACTTGACCAGGAATAATTAAACTTGCGAAATTACATTAACTGGTGCAATTACCGAAACTATAGGACGATACTTCCTAGTAATCTTCAAAAATACGTCTAAAAAGTAAAAAGGATATATAAAACATATATAAACAAGCTTTAATCCACGGAAGATATAGATTGCCTTTAAATATAAATTGATTAACTATATATATATATATATATATATGTGTGTGTTTTAATTCCCTATCGATAAAGAAATTCCTTTCCAAGTTGGACTCGGAATTTTATAGGAAGCAGAGTTAGGACAGAAGTCGGAAATAGTACTATTTAAGTGCCTACTGCTCATCACATGCGATCACAAAAATAATCACATGCGATCACAAAAATAAGTGATATAGCTAGCTGAAAGATCAAGATAAGAAAAAAGGAAGAAGAAGAAGCTCAAGTTTTCTACGCAATTCATGGAGCAAGGTATATTTAACATATTCATGATTTACATGATCTTTTAGTAAACTTGGTCCTCAAAATTATTGTCGTTGTTTAATATATTCATTGTTTAATTTGGGAAGATAAATAACCTTTAATCTATTTCGACTTCAATACATGGTAACTATTCGATAAATCACTAAACAGGGATTCTTTATAGCATTAAATTAGTACGTAAATCGCTTTTTTATAAAAGTTTATGGTTATTCCTTTTCTTTTTCTTTGTCATATATTCATGATTTACTGAGGAGTTTTTTTTTTTCTTTTTTTTCTTTTTTTAGATTGGGCAAGCCTCCCAAAACATCTTTTAGACTTAACTTTGGGGAAGTTGGGGTCATTTACAGACTATATACAATTTGGAGCAGTTTGTATTCGTTGGCATTCCATACTGATAGATAATCCAAATAAACAAAACGAATTAATGCGGCACCATCAAGTTCCAGTGCTTTTATTTCCTGGAAAAGAAGAAGATACATGGAGCATCTACAACATCACAAACAACAAATTCTTAGAGTTGAAGTTATCTTTATCATATAAGAGACGTTTCAGTGGCTCTTCAGAAGGATGGTTAGTAATTGGAAATAAGGATCATACTGTGACGCTTCACAAACCTGATTTTATAGATTATAAAGTAGAAAATAGTCAATTAGCAAATTATGAAAGTATCGACCTCCCATGTTTATTTGATCCCCCGGACGAAGAAGACGATTTGGATCCAGAAATTCTTGAATATTTTGGTGAAGAAGCTTATGATTATCGCATTGCCAAGGCTTTAATTACAGCCGATCCGCTAATAAATCCTGACAACTGCACCATTTTTATGATATTCGGCGGATATAATGAAATAGCATTTCGTAGATATAAGAAAGATACCGAATGGGTTAGAATTGCAGATAGGCACTACGATGACATTATCCATTACAAGAACAACTTTTATGCTGTGGACTATTCTGGTAGGCTTGTGTCTTTCAATATTGATGACCCTTCCACTATAAAGTTGGTTACACCCAAAATTTTGAATCTAACATCGGTTGCACATGTTAAGAGATATCTTGTTGAATCATGTACTGGAGAGCTCTTGCAAGTTGAAAGATTTGTTAGAATGGACGAGGATTTAAAACGTTGGACAACAATATTCAAAGTTTACGGATTAAATATGGATTTTGATCATGAAGGAATTAGGTGGATTGAGACAAAAAGCCTAGGTGGTGCCGCTTTGTTCGTAGGGGACAATTCTAGTATATCTGTGTTAGCTTCTGGTGGGTTTCAATGGAATTGTCAACCAAATTGCATCTATTTCACGCATGATGATGTTAGTATTAATGCTAGTAAGGGTTCTGATATGGGCATTTACAACGTGGAGACTGGAAGTTTCGAGTTACACTTTGCTATGGACCCAACTACTTTTTCTAGGATATTTGATCGACCTCCAATTTGGGTTGTTCCCATACCCAACAAATATTAGTTTTTTGTTTTTGTATTTTTTTTTTCTCTTTCAACATTATTTTTTACGTTTTCATTATTATGTTCTGCAATGAAAGGCTTCAAATTTATATATTCAACTTTTTTTCATACATGTTTTTTTTTTTTATTTTTTTTTTATTTTTGGAAGTGCAATTACCATTATTAATTGGCGTTAGACAAGACAGTAATAAACTTCGCGAAAAGATCTGAGATCTCGTGATCCTTGCCAACATGATCATAATCCAATAGATGCTGACAAACATTGTACACACCAGAATTACAACATCCATCAATTCTTCGTAAATATTTTTCCATTGAAATATGAATAGAAAAGAGTTACATAACATTTTTTTTTGAAAATATTTATAGTAGATAACATATTTTAAAATATTTATGATATATAATATATTTACCTCGAATGATTAATTTACGAAGCATATTTATAAAAATTTAACTTTATAAAAAGTTAATAGCTCTAAATGTCTCTGAACTTTTAAATTTGTGACATTTGGTTGCTAAATAAATTTTTTAAGAGATAAAATCTTCATGAACTAAGTTTTAAAGAGCAACAATTGTCCTAGCCATTAAATCTTTGACAATGTCATGTGATACGTTCATGGCTTTTTAAAACGAAATTATAAAAATATCCTCACAATATATAAAAGAAGAAACAAATATAAAACTTCAGTAGGTTAGCAAAAAAATAAATAAATAAATTATGTACAATCCTAACCACTTATCTTATTTCAAAAATAACCTTACAATATTTAAAAGATTTAACTGTAAGACTGCTTTTGCTCTTTAAAACTGAATTCAGGGAGATTTTTACCCTTGAAATTAGTTTAGGCACCAAATCATCATAAACTTTAAAGTTCAAGGACCTACTGTAAATATGTATAAATGTTTTAAAATATGATCTTTATTTATTATTATGGAATTTCTCTGTGCGCCTTAATTTTTTGAACTACCGATTTTTACGTCTCTATGCGCCTTGATTTTCTGAACTACCGATAGTTCATGTAAAAATAGAGATTTGACTCCACTTTCAGTGGCTGGTATATCATAGAATCTTGCACCGCACCGCATTATAGCAAAATTTCAGTATCATACATCTCAAATGTCTCTGCAACTTTTCGGTTTTGTTTATTCTAATTCCATGTTATTATCTTTTAACCCCTCTTTATTTTGCATTTTTTCGTTATCCCTAAGTTGTCACCATTAACAAACAAGCAGCCTATTTTGATTGTGACTGAGGCTTTAGTATTATGATGTCTGATAATAAGAAATATATTACACTTTTTTTTTTTCTGAATATTTCAGTTTGGGTTAATATTTGGGTATAACATAATTTCCAATGTCTCATAAAGTATGTCACATATACCCACTTATTCACTTCTTTAGAGCTCATTTGGAGCTTTTGCTCTGACTCCAATCTACCTTGCGAGCTTTTTGACACAAGAACTGTACTAGATCAATCTTTATATATGTGATCTTTCATGAATTTTGATCCACCTTGGTGTGTTTCCACCATGAATCTCTTTCTGAGTCCGTTATTGATAAAATACAAAAAAAAAAAAAAAAAAAAAAAAAAAAAAAAAAAAAAATTTTAAAAAAAAGCGGGGGCAGCTCCAGGATTTCTACATTTTTAACGATCGCATGAAAAAAGTTTTTCTTTAACAAAAGCATTTGGGTTGACGCTTGTACTATGTTCTGTTTTTAATCAAGTTTCAACGACTTACTTTGAGTTTGTCATTGAATGTAACTTCCCCTGAGGATTAAAAGAGTTGATGTTGATACACTTTTTCTTTCTTCTTCTTTTTTTTCTTTTTTTTTATTTTTTTATTTTTTTAAGTAGGAGTTGAAGGGCATAAACACAGAGCGATGTTGAAGATTGAAAATATTAATGGCTATATGATGAATTTAGCAGCGGCTGATTACTTCATGCTTTATTGTATCGTGTTTTTAGTTCGAGTTTTGAGTATGGATATATAACTTTATCGTCTTTTTATGTTTTTTGAAGCTTGTGTTTGTTTATATACTAGTTTGACGACACCAACCTCAACGAACTGGATACGAGTACCTTATAAACGACACCAACCTCAACGAACGGCATGGACAGACAAAAGGACAATAAACTGGAGATGCAAAAACCGGTGTAAAACGACATTGACTTACAAGGACAAAACAAAGCATTAAACTAAAAAATGACTTGACCAGGAATAACTAAACTTGCGAAATTACATTAACTGGTGCAATTACTGAAACTATAGGACGATACTTCCTAGTAATCTTCAAAAATACGTCTAAAAAGTAAAAAGGATATATAAAACATGATGAACGAAAAAAAAAACTGAGAATGGCATTAAATTTTAATGCCGTTTATGTAATATTGCAAAGCTAAAACAAAGATATATGTTGTTGTTATTGTGCACTTTTATAAGTAATTTATTATTGCACAATATCATTATTGTTACACACTTTTATTGCCGATTATATAATACTGCATGGCTAGAGAGATTAGGCACAAGATTACAGAGCTTTTGGTGCCTCCAAACGGTAAAAAGGGGAATCATCCACTTTCTGGCTACTCCCATCAATGCCACACACTTGGATGATGAATTTGACACCAATATTATCAGAATCAACTGCAAAGCTAGCAACATAAAAAGCCTCTACTAGTGCCACTCCGAGGAACTCCCTTGCTGCTGCTTGTCCTGGAACAACTTTCCCCGCTATTTTCTCCGCGTAAATATTGTACTTTGGAAACGCAGAACCATTACCATCTTTCAACTTCCAAGTGATCTTTACACTAACAGTCTTGGAACCCTTAGAACTCGCGTCCCATTCCGTGTAGTGACCCTCAACCAACCATGAACCAGCGGGTGGAAATTGCAGATTGTGTTCTGAAGTCTTGATAGAAATATGGCCAAGCACTGCATAGTACTCTGTAGAACTCCGATTAGAAGTTCTTTGGACAATACGAGACTCTGGCCTGTAGCATACGAAACCGATTTTTGTTAAGTTTTGTCCACTTATTTTGATACTTGCCTTGTGCACCACCCACCCCTGAGAAGTTCCAAGATGTTCAAGTTGGCGGGTTATAACCACTTCGTTAAATGTACTTGAGAAACGGTTCGCCTCCCTTGGTGCAAGAAGTACCGACTTTCGTTCTCCCGCCAGGGAATAGAACTCAAGACATAGGCCTAGTAGAGAATTGCTATCTGATTTTACCTGCATTTAATCAGGTTCTCTCATTTGAATTGATCAAAGTAGTAAAGAACATATTGGAAGGTACAAGTATAACCATCTATTATCAGATTGCCTAATATTGCCTGCTGGTGCATGAAATATCATTCAAGTTTCTACACAGCCTATTTAGAATTAGTCTTGTTAGATTCCAATAATGTTTTCTTCTCCTTGTTTGATAAGAAGGCACTATCAATAAAAAATTTTAATTAACAGAAGAAATAGCTCACCGAATATGTCAAGTGGAGAGGAGAGTCCTGCAAATGAAGCTCTCCCGAAAAGAGGTTATTTCTGAATTCAGAATCTTCTTCAAGATTTCCTTTAAACGTGATGCTACTTCCCCCACCATAAGAAGGTTCCTTGAAACTATCATTTCAACAAATGTATACTCACCATCTTAAACTTAGTTACTGGAAAGAAAGAGAGCAGGAAAAATATAGAGAAATAAACAACTTAAGGTACTTTGGTGATACTATGTGAGTCTATGACTAGAGTGAATGAGCTAGCCTGTATAGAATGAGAAGTACTTGTACACTCGAACAGTACCATATGAGTTCATAAAACTTTTTCAATGGTGTTTAAACCGAGAACTACAAGAAATGTGGAACGCCTTTCTGACTGTCCACAACACAGATATGCAAGCAGTGGTGTTGATCACAACAGAATGAGTTTCATATCTAAATTTAACCTATCTCTTTGGGACATAAACTAGAGAACTTTGTATGATCTAGTGAAGGACGTTTGTAGCGAGGTTCATAATTTGACGAAAGCATTGAAACTTACTCGACCAGCACTTGAATAGCATCTGCAGGTTTGAACTCCAGATGCGGCTGCAAATAAATGCAATGAGTTAGAAAGAAACTTTGTAGCAAGTGCAATATCAATAAAGCTCGTTTGATTTACGGAACTCAAGCTTCTAGCGATAAATCAAAAAAAAAAAAAAAAGAAAGAAAAACAGAACTGGAGCAACTGTGCAGCATAAGGAGGTGGACATTAAACGGCATGAACTGAAAAAAGAACAGTAATCTGAAAAATTACAACTGAAAAAACTATATGAACCTTGAAACCGAAAACAATTAATAAAAGAAAGAATAAAGAAAGCGTATTGCTATAAAACCTGAAAGCCTTGACAAGAAATGTTGTTCCAAGGAGTATCTAGAACTTGCTCTCCATCGACAGAAAAATGGTAACCATGGCCCTGAACAATAGTAATAAAAGAGATTTTTAGCACTAAAGTAGGTAGTATAGTAATCTCACCAACACTCACTTCTCTTATTCTCCAGTGTCTGGCTTGAGTCATCACAATTTAAAAATTAAGAACAAAAGTTTGAAAAAATAGATTGAGACAAAACAGATTAAACTCATTTCTTAGAACATGATTTTCCTAGATCAATCCCTGAATAATCACTACTGAATTTTGGCAGGAATCAATTTACGTTATGACTATCTAAGCCTCAAAAGGGAATTCCAAAAGAACTCGGAGTGTTTTTCTTAAAAGTAGTTGAAACCTGATCAAAGTTTGAAGAGAATGGTAGTGTTTTAGGATAATGCTGAGCAACTCCCCAAGATTTCTCCACAAGGGACCACCAACTGAAAGACCCAAATTATATGTCAAGAAAACTGATTCAACTTGTTAGGAAATAGATCATCAAACCAACCGAATGAATGAATGATTAAGAAAATTCCATCCTTGATCATGCCATGAGAAACAGCGATTCAAGAAATGAAGAATTTGGAAATTCTAGGAGAGTGGATCGGATATATTGGTCCAAAATAACCAAACTTGAAGTCTTGCAGAAAGGGCATTACTGAGTTTTAGCAGTCTGATAATCTGGTGGTTGTTTAGACTCATAGACCCATCCAGGCGCGAACAAGGCAGCTGAAACATCGTCCTTTTTCAGCACATCAAGTGCAACGTTTGTCTGTTATGCATAGAGCCATCAGAAAGCGAAAAGATCATTCAGTCATTTTGACAATGCATAAAGACAAAGTAGTTAATTACAAATCAACTAAGTACAAAAGAGGACATGTCATATTTATTCTACTAATTATGATATATGTTATGATTAAGAAACCTGATTAGAATATATCATGAATCAAAGTATATTAAGCTGTTTCAAATCAATGAAGCTACAAAATACATAATGGCACATACATTCCATTGTCCACCGCCGAAAGTGCCCCTTCCAAAGACATCAATGCCCATGTAGACATCATACTTTCTATCCCCAGCAGCTGCAGCTGAGAGGCTGGGATAGCTTTCCTGTATTGAAATATCGGTGAAGCAATATACGTAATGAAGCAGACATACATTAAGATCCTACAAAGGAAAAAAAGGAGATAACAATACCTTCCACGTATAGTTTACAAAAATACCATCACAAACATCAAAGAAGGGTTTGTTTTTTTCATTCAGCTGATCTTGCCAGTTGAGATTACCATCAATTGTGATACTGTCGTACCTGCAGAACCACGGTGATCATATGTATAAGTTTTTGTTTGTGCCCCAAAAAACATGATAGGTTAATATCAACAATCTTATTCTCACCATATAACTAAGGAGCCCGGAATTGAGGAATGCATTTTCTGGGTTAAATGGCTGACAAATTCTTTTAGATTAGGAATTTTGCTCGCGCCCAATGAGACCTCCATATTGAGCTGCATATAATATATTCATTTGTAAACTATGAAAATGCAGGACAATATACTGGATTTCCAATAACCACAGAACCAAAGAGAACACTGAAATAGTTAGGGAATTCTACGGTAGTATATGAAAAAAAAAATCATACTCGCACTTAATTTGTTCGAATTATTAAATATTTGTTAGATTAAATCAGATTTTTATAGTATGTGATTATGATGATTCAAAGGCAGCCCTTTTAAGCTTAGGAAAAAGATAGTTAAAAGATACAAAACTTCAATTTGGCAAAAAAAAGAATGATAAATTGACAAGCAAGCACGCAGAAATTTGTGATTTTATTTACCAGCCATCCGTCAAAGCCCAAAGCAACAGCAAGTTCTGCCAAGCGCTCAGCATACATTTGAGATGATTCTTTTGTTGAGAGCAACTTGTTGGCAATAACTCTACCCTCGTCCCATTCAGTGATGAAAGTCCCCAATACCTTAGATGGCCAAAAAAAAAAAAAAAAAAGAAAGACAATATCTTTTGACAATCACATACGTAATCAAACGTTACATAGTATATAACTATAACTATATAGACAAAAAAGTGTCACAATCCCTAGTGAACACAAATGCAACATAATATCAAACCCACATCGAAACAAGAAGGAGAGAAACCATACAGAGACATTAACTTGTCGTAATGGGCCCACATTTTATTAGCGTTAGTGCATTAGCTACTTCTGATGGCATTAAAAGGTTTAATATGGCATTTTTAACATTGCGCTTTCAACGAACACAACTCTCTTATTAAGCTGAGTTAAAAGCACATCCCACCACTTGCCGTAGGCCTACAAAAACGTGTGGTGGGCATCATTGAAACCATCATTGTAATGGTATCAATTCTTTCTTAAACAAAAAGTAACACACCAAAACTGGTTTTGTTGTAAAGTAGAACATAATGGTAAAACTGGTTCTTTTTGTAAAGTAGAACATAAATAAGCATTTTCCATTAAAATAAAAAAATAAAAATAAAATAAAAAACCCACACGCACACAGAGAACAGTTCAACGCCATTGGTCTAATCAAATCAGCCCAGATCATAGATCTTAAATTTCTCTGAAAGCACGTTAGGAGATAGTTTCTGGACACCCATTGAGCGAAAAAGAAACTTCCTAAAAAAAAAAAAATTGGTTTACCTTCATGTAAAGCACACACATGTGTAAAGCAGAACATTAATGGCATTTTCCAGTTTTCTTCATCCAAAGTTGCACAAACCAAAACATAGACCAGTTCAAGTCCAAAGTCAACGCCAGGTCCAATTAAGTCACTCAGATCAGAGATCTTGAAAATTTGTGTGGAAACACATTTGGAAGTAATTTCTAGACACCCAATAAGCGAAAAAACAGGCTTAAAAAGGCTCAAAAATTGAGTTTACCTTAACACCGTGCAGATGAGCCGTGTTAGTCCAACAAGGAGGAGGGAGAGCAACGAGATTATGAGAGAAGTAAACAAAAACGTCCATCAGATACCAATGCGACAAATCAAACGCCTCGGGATTGGTCCCACCCTGGACCCACTTATCATCTCCATACCCACCAGCCATATCATGGCAGACAAGCAGCCTAGGCCTATTGGGCAACGTCCCAGATTGAAGAGGAACAGAAGCTCTGTTAAATGGGTAGTGAAAGGACTCAAAGTAGGACCTTGATTCGAGCTCCTCCAGGGTTTTGATCGGGTAAGATATGGGAACGGACGGTTTAGTTGGATCAAATGTTGTGGAATCGGAAGCAGAGGATTGAAGCTCTGGTTCTGGGCCGATTTTGGACATTTTGGCGAAGAGGAAACGAAAGAAGTTGCAGAGTTTTTGGTGAATGAGTTTGAGAAGGTTTTGGAGAGACACCAAGGTTTGACGGTTTATGTAAGAACGAACTAGAGGAAGTAACATGGGAAAGGAGAAGAAGCAACCACGAAATAAAATGCAATGAAGAATCTGTTTAATAGTTGTTTGTTTTCAATGGAGATAAAAGAACTACAATACATAAAAGCCTCAAAAGTTGAGACTTGAGGCTCCGTGGTTTCGTCCCCATGTGGTCGAAACGTTTATAATGTGAGGGGGTCGGGACGAAAAGTTTGGTCCCCGCTTTTTTTTTTTTGGCCCCCTTTTCTTTTCTATTTGCTTTTAGGTCCTCTTGGTTTTTTATTTGCTTATTTTAATTTTAATTTTTTAATTTTTATTTTTCCTCCCACCCTTAATTAATCTTATTATTATTATAGTCCTTATGTTTTATTTTATTTTATTTTATTATCATTTTAGTTTCTTTTAAATCCTTTTTTCTCGTCTTTTTTTGTTCTTTTTGCTTCCCTTTCTTTCATTTTTTTGTCCCCTTCCTTATTTACTTACTTTTTTAGTCTTTTATTTTTATTTTACATCTTCTCTTACTTAATCTTATCATTTTAGTCCCTCATTTTTGTCTTTTTTTGTTTTTATTTTTCTTGTTTCTATAGCTTTTATTTGTTTTTGGACGATACAAGGATGGAACCTACAAAATTACCCTCACGTGCATCATACACGACCTCAACTAGTATCTATGGCCTCGTTCTCTTCACAGGTTAGAGTTTTCAATTCGAGCTGAGATGTGACATTTTCATAAAGTTTTTTACTATAGCAAAAAAACTTAGATGTGACATTTTCTGAGAGCTTTTTACTATAGAAACCTAGAACTGAAAACTCGAATCGGTTAAATGAACGATGCCAATGGACTACCTTTTGCCCCTGATTATGTTAATATTGACTATTGGGAATATGTCTCCTTTCATGTTTTCTTTCGGGCTGTTTAGAATGTATATTTAAATTATTATTCTTGATTCTGAAATTTTAAATTTAAATTTTTTATGAGAAAAAATACTGTAAGAGAATTATGTCTTTCACAAAGATTTTGACAAGTGAAAATTTATTTGACATCATATTTTAATTGACATAGAGAAATATGAAAAAAAAAAATCACAAATAAAAGAACATAAGAGTTGATTTATTGTGATCGTTGAGATCTAATTTAATCACATGCACCCTTATTTCTAGGACTACTCACACATAAATAAAAAAATTTAAACAATAGAGTTTAAATATAGTAAAATTTTAAAATATTAAAAGAATAACAAAATTTGATATTATTAAAATAATAACTGTTTTTATTACACCTAAACTTCTCACCAAGTTTCTTATGAATAGAAACTTGGCGAGAATTCTAATGTAACATCATTACAATAATCGTTATATCATTATTGCTATACTCATAATATTTTAAAAATTGTGTTCAATTTTAACTCAAGTTATGAAATTTTGTCATAGAGTATAATTCTTATTTTAAACACAAACAAAACTAATCGAAAAGGAATATAGAGATTAGAATTAGAGTCTTCTCCCTTGTCTCTATTTTACTCACCTAGATTGTATTTGCTTCTCTCATATATATCTTTTGTCTCTCTTATCAACCATAACATAAATGATACAAAAGCAAAGACACACCTTAAGTGAAGACAAGACTAGTTAATAAGATCCAAGCTTTTAGAAATTTCCATTAACAAAGATCAAAGTCTCAAATACAGATAAATCTCAACAGAATGACCATCAATTCGATATAGGGTGCGTTTGATAGTGCTTCTTTGAACTCAAAATCACTTCTATAGCAATCAGAAGCGGATAATGGTATTTGGTAAAAATTATAAAAAGTGATTTTTAAAGAACTTTTGAAGAATCTACAGTCAAAATGAGAAGCGGCCCAAAGGCAACTTTGACTTTTCAATTGTGCGAGAATCAGCATAGTACAATTAATGATTATCAACAAAGTTATTATAAATAATTATAATATATATTAATTAATAATTAATTAATAATTTCTGTTTTTGTCATTTTTTGAGGCCATTTTTTGCAAGCACGCTTAAAAAATGTAAGGAACATGTATGCAAAATTTTATAATTTGTTTACATCATTTTTATTTTATTTTATTTTTTAAAGATGAAAAATAAAGAAAATCATAAAAAATAGAATATTCATAAAAAAAATGGTGCTGCTTGTTGTATTAATTCTTAAAAATCGTATATTAATTTTAGAATGCAATTATTTATTACTATTAAGTTTTTAATTTTGTTAATAAAATAATAAATTATTTAGTAATTATTTATTTAGTTAAAGATTAATTACCAAAAATTAATTAGATAACATATTAACAATAAAACAAGTAATAATAGATTATTAAATAAATAATTAATAATTAATATATGAATCATATATTATGTTAATTAAAATCTATTGATTAGTAAATAGTTAGTAAATAAAAAATAAATAGCAATTAATCAATTAATAATTAATATTAAATTATAATTATCAATATATAATATATTAATCCATAATAATTAATGATTGATAATTAAGCATTAATCATTATAAAAAGAATAATTACCAATATTAATAAATTATGTATATAATAATTACTTTTCTTAATACACTAATTAATTGAGAATAATCTAATAAATATGAGTGCATTACTAATATAGTAATTACTTATAATTAATTACTAATTACTATTTTTAATTATTTAACATATTAATTTATTATATTTATGGTTTGATTACTAATATACTCATTAATGATAATTTATCTATTATTATTATATTATTAATATATTAATTTTTATTTGCTAAATAATTATCAATTATTAATTACTTTATATATTAATTTAATATTATTAATTACGGCTATCTTAACTACCCTCAACAATTTAACCTCATAATTTATCAAACGTCATTACATTGCTTTTGGAACTAACAACACTTGCATAATTACAGTTTACCAAATACTCAGCTATTTTTTGTAACAGCTACTTTTTTTCAGCACAACTAAAAGTAATTTTTCATAATCTACAGCACTATCAAACTGACTCATAGACTCAACCTTTCAGGGTTTAGGAAAAGCAACAAAACAATGAGTCACTATTGAGAACGCCAACCAAACAACACTAAATAAAAGAATGATCAAAACAACTGTCAAGATAGTGTCACTTTTTTAAATAAGCTAGACTGTGCTAATGACGAGAGGTGAAAGTTCATACTACTCAATCCGGTCTGAAATTTTATAAAGTATTTTTTAAAATGAGAAAAAAAGACAAATACTATTTAAAAGTGTACGTGTTAAGATTTATGCCTGTTATTCTTAATTAATAACCTTTTTAGTTAAATAATTATATTATCAAAAGGTTATTAATTAAGAATGTGAGTAAAAATTCAGACTCATATATTTTAAGTATAAATTTTACAATTTTCTCTTTAAAAAAATTTAAAAAGTGTTTGGACCGGGCTGGGTTGGGCCGAATGAGTTTTCAAATTCAAAACCTCAACCCATTATGACCTAGAGATTAGGGCCGGGCCGAAAAAAAGTCAATAATGACAGATCTCATATTAATCCGTTTAACCCGCATAAACTTGCAGCCCTACTATCTATCAAAATCAGGGCCCCTCTACCTGCAAAAGCTCATAACGCAATTTATTCACACAATCCGACATAATTTAATGGGGAGAAATATAATTTAATGGTGCGGGGATTATGTCGGTTCTGGCAACCATGAAGGTACTAGGCAGAATCCCTAGGCTAATTGCCTATTGCGGTCGTTGCCTTCTTATTGAAGTCAAGGCAGAGTTTCTATTAAGTTCAGATTTGGGCCCCTAGAATCCATCAGTGCAGATTTGTGTTATTGTACCTGACCTTGGATGCCTCATCATTTATTTGTAAAGTAATTTACATAAATGGTAAGTGACAATTTAATTTTTAATTTTTTTAGTAAAATGACCTTAATTTTTTTAAACGGGTACAATCTAATCCTTTCTATTAAATTTCTTTAAATTTTTAACAAATTTCCGTATATGAGTATCATGTGCCTTATTTTTTCAATTAAAAGATAAAAATACCCTAAAAACCTTCTTCTTCCTCAACCTCCACAGAAACCAAGAAAATTTGAAAACTTCAGCTTCCACAGCCATTCTCAAAGAAAAATTAAGTAATTTCACTTGGAAAATTTATCGAACACTTAGAAGACGTTTGATTTATGTATTCAGAATCATGATTCAGAACCATTCTCGTTTTATGTGTATTTTTTATGAGAGAAAATACGATAGAGAACTATGAATCATGATTCAGAATTATGGATGAATATAAGAAACAAACGTCCCCTTAAAGTGCATTCCGTTAAATAAAGAAAAAACGTAAAAAATCAAAAGCCACTCAATTTACTTTTCATATCGAAATCCCAGAACCCAATTGCATTTACCAAATATAAATTTTCTAAGAAAATCTAAACTAAATCAGAGTTTTGTAGAAAGGATTGAATTTTGATATTTCCTTGAGCCCTTTTGCTTTAACCCAAAAAAGAAAAAACAAAACCTCAAATCTTGAAATTATATGCCATTATCAATGGAGATTTCCGTTCTGAGATTCTGAGCCTCAAAAACTCACATACAAAGTCAAAATTTCATTAGATGAGAGGCTAGAAAACAGATATTAGACGCAGAGAAAGAAGAACTGAAATAGGGAAATTTATGGCCATGGATGTTAGAGAGAGAGAGAGATCACCGGTAATTCGACCAAAATTACAGCTTCCACAGAATGCACTCTAAGAAAATTTGAAAACTTCAGGCCCTTAGGGCATTTTTGTCTTTACATTAAAAAAAGAAAGTTCACATGCGAAAATCTGTTAAATATTTGACGGAATTTGATAAAAAAAAAAAAAATCAGATGCAACCGTCTAAAGAGGTTATGGATCATTTTGCTAAAAAAAAAAAAAAAATTAAAGACTAAACTGTCACTTACTAAAGAGGTTGAAGATCATTTGTATAAATTACTCTTTATTTGTATCATAATTAATTAAAGAGGTTGAAGATCATTTGTATAAATTACTCTTTATTTGTATCATAATTAATTGGTACATGTCTTTCATATAAAAGGACGAAATAATTCATTGACTGATTTCACCAACTAAATTGATTAGTACCTAAGTTAAATGAATGTATGATCACCTAATTATTCAGCTACTGTAGATCTAACCATAATAAAGATACTTTTTTGGGGGGTCCTTTTTCTCTTTACATATTTATTGACATTTTTGTGTCCAAGACTAACTATTGGCTTTTCTTTTCTTCTGTTTTTAGTTGGTAATTCTGACAAAGATTGTTGCACTAGTTATGATTTATGAAAAACTAACTTTGTCGAGAAGGGCAAAAATAGTATATCCCACATTTGATTTGTGGGATGTGAAGGTGATAAGAACCATAGACAAAATAATGTACAATCCATTTGTGGAAAAAAAAAATCCATATCCTTTTTATTATTAGGAAGAAAGAGGTAGGAGGAGCATTACATCATTCAGATTAAAGCTTTGACATAAATCTCAACCTTAGACGTTAGACCGTGTTTTTTTTTTTTTTTTTTTGGTGGGTTCTTCATACCATGAAACTTGTTATTCCAAATAACTTATATAGCATTCAAGCAAAAAAAAAAAAAAAAAAAAAAAAAAAAAAAAAAAAAAAAAAACCCTTATATAGCATATTCAATGTTTCCTCAACCTTTTACATATTGAGACGCACAACATCTGAATATTGTTTTCTTTTATTTCTCTCTTTGAAAAAATGTCGATTGGAAAGAGACTAATTAGCAATGTGTGACTTGTTATGTCATGGCAACGACTTTTAGTCCTTTTATGCGACCGAGGAGAAATGGAATTATTTATTCCGTTTTATCACTTTAAATGTTATAGTCGATATCAATCTAACGATAGTTTTTTCTTTTACAGTGTGTAATTGTAGATCTAGAACTTTGTATCTTTTTCATTTTGGGAGATAACATAATGTGGAAGTCTGACTGAAGGAGTGTTGCGCATGGGAATTAATTCTACAAGAAGGTTGAACAAACACCTTTTAAGTAAAAAATAAAAATAAAAAAGATTAGATTAGATGTGACAACATTCTATTTTGCTATAGAGATTTACTAAGGCATAGCTCAGCAGTATGCATTCTTCTAGATGTGGTTTCTGTTGCCATTACTCATAAGCTCTCTCGAATGGCAAGAAAAACAAAAATAAGAAATGATGCGATATTTTGGTTGCAAACGTAGAAACCATTTTAGGACTAAAGAGTGCAACGGTCAAATGGCTAATCCAGGAGTGAAATTGTGACTCTATTCTGTAATAGTAGTTGGTTCAAACAGATTTCAAGGGTTTTGTAGTCATTAAATAAAACTTTATAACTAGTGATTTGTTCCAAATTTTCAAGGGCTGTTGACAAAAAAAAAAAAGTGTTTCTAGATTAAGGGTTACCACCACAATTTCAACAAAACCCAGGAGGTGAGAATGTAACTCTAATATGAATGCTAGAAATTTTCTAATACATGAGAAAGATTGAGGGTGTATGAAATGCGTTCATCCGATTTAGAGCAAAGCCTGGCAAACCTTCTGACATGAGCTCGGTGGTTAGGATTTCCCTAGTCATCAGCGAGGCCATTTACTTTGCAATTGGATTCTTTGGCTACCTCTTCTTCAGAGACTCAATCATGGCCGATATGCTAGTGAACTTCGATCAAAATTCCGATTACACAATTGCTCAGTTGCTCAATGACATTGTTTGGTTAAGCCATGCAATTCACGTTTTATTAGTGTTTCCCATGATCCCATCACGAACTTCACCTTGAGGGCTAACATAGACGAAATCTTTTTCCCAAAGAGGACTGGACACCACAAGATTTGTGTCCCTGACTCTGGTTTTGCTCTTTGTTACATACATAATAATGGCAATAGCCATACCAAACATTTGGTAATTTTTTCAGTTCGTTGGATCTACGACTATTGTTTGCCTCTCATTCATATTCCCCGGAGCTATTGTTCTTAGGTATGTACAATGTTCGAAGCTATATATAATGTTACATATTTTTCTGCCTCTAGATTCTTTGTATTTTTGAGCCAAAACCTTGATCTTATATGTTGTTGAATTTTGTGGGCAGGGACGTGTATGGATTATGGAATATCAACAACAAAGGACAAGATTGTGGCTGTTTTGGTGATTCTGTTGGCAGCTACTTGTTATGACTAGCTCAATTGCAATATCAACCAATTCTTACTAGTTCAAATCAAAACTGAGCCACAGTTGTTAAATTCTCCAATATTTTCTTTAAGAAAATTATAGATTCTACCTCCTTAAGTACATGACTTATTAAAAGTACCTCTTTTAAAAAACTCTACCCCCTTAACTAACTGTCTAAAAGATAGAAATATATAGGCCAATATTAAGGGGTAGAAATAAAAGGAGCTCCATTTTAAGGGGTATTTTTAAAAGTTGCCCATATTCTTTTTAGTTTGCACATTTTATTGCTATGTTTAGGCAGAGTTTTTATGAATTCGGCATGGATTTTTTTGAAGCTAGAAAAACTGCTTGATATATACCTATTTTTACCTTTCAAGCGTAATCTTATGAACCCATCTCGTGGTGGAGCCTTCAATTAATCAGAAGTTTGTCTGTCTAGTAGCTTTTTATTATTTTTCTTATTAAAAGTATGATTAACAATTTTGATGCTATATGCTTTTGCTCTTTTGAGATCCTCAAACTTTACAAAGTCTTCCAAAAAAAAAAAAAAAAAAAATGGCGACTTTGAAATTATTCTCTCAATTATCTAGTCTACCATAAACGTCACCTACTACAGAAAACGAGCGAAGATATAGCTAGGAATCGAAACAAAAGTGTTAGGAGCATTCAAACAAAGAACTCCGCTATGTACATTAGGCAGAGCTGATCGTGGGACTCGTGGCTGAAAATCATGAAAGTCAAGCTCGTTGCAGTTTTAGCCTCCTGTTTATCCAGCTTCACAGTGCATAGCATGGTACAATCATTCTTCAACGAGGAGCAGCCTAAGCATGAGACAATGAGTCGCACCAACGAAGCATTTGAGAGGATGACATTAGTCCTTAAAATCTCAAATGGGCAGAACTCAGAACCATCACATTCACAACCCTGTACGAACAAATACATAAAGTCAAAATCTTTGATGATTAACATTAAGTTGGAGAATAACTAGTCCTGAGAGAGAGAGAGAGAGAGAGATGAGACGTAAAGGCTTACAGGCAACAAAATGAGTGAGACGAAAAGCCATACAGTCAACAGACTGAGTTGCTCATTATGCAATTCCTGCACAAAATACTTGCTTGAAGTATTCGTTGCAAGCATGTCAGTGCTAGCAAAAGACGCCACAATGCTGCCCTTCCAATTTCTCCTTTGTGGAGGCTTTGGAGGGATCTGTATTTGCTGAAATTCTGAAATATTTGGAAAGAAATATAACATTGGAATATTGTAAGATAAAAGCAAGCATCATAGCTTTCTACAACTAAATGGCATGGAAGGCAAAGCAAGCAAACAAGCATAAAGACTTAATGTAACTGAAAATTACATGACCAAAGGATTATTAAGAAGCGATTCCAATCCTCCATCAGGCCCTTATTTCAGAAAGCAATCTTACCTTCTTTAGATTGGATAGCCTGCTCCATAGATCGCACAACATCTTCGAGTAATGGCACTCCCATGCAATGATTCAATGAATTGCCATAACCCTTTAATATAAACAGCCCCAAGTCATCTGTCCACTCAATCATCTCAATCTACACGTAGAGAATTATGCAAGAGAATAAGAAAAAGCATGTAGCAGCAAAGAAAGAATATACCACTTCCTAGACCTGTTGTGTTGATTTACCAGCTCACAACAGGACAGCTACTTATAGTCAATTGTGTTGATTATTAAAGTGATCACCAATTGAAAAATTAAGGGTGCGTTTGGAATTATTTTTTAGCTGTGTTCAAAAACGTTTCTACACGTCTTTTGAGGTATGAAAATGAAAACGGTCTACAGATCGCGTCTATTTAATAAAGGTTTTGAAAACGGAAACGAAAATAAAAGCAATGAGAATAGTTTTTGTGAAGAAAACTTTTCATTTTCTAGTAGTTATCAACAATATTATATTAAATAATTAATTACTAATTATAATATTTATTAATTAATAATTAATAAATAGATATACTTAATATTTAATAAATAGATAATAATTACTTAATTATTAATTAAATATTAATTTATTACTATTAAGTTTGTAATTTTAGTAATAAAATAATAAATAATATAGTAATTAATTATTT